AAATTTATAAGGCTTTCCAAACCTTTATAATATAATATCTATCACTGGGTAGGTGTATCGAGGGTTTAAGCTTTCGAGGAACTATGTGGTCTGAGGAAGGATTCTTTCCAGAGCTGGTATACTTGAATGAAATAGGATTTATTTAAAGAAAGCATAAATACGAGGGTAGAACCATGTCACTAGTAAAGTAGGTATAACACACAGTCTGCTCCCTACTTTGTAACACTTTTTTAATTTTAACTTTTCATAACACACACAAGAAGGTCTCTCCTTCAGACCCCAGAACTAAACTCATCCCACACAGGGATGGGTCTCACTCCTCTCATACACAGAACTTCTGCTTCTCTCACAGAAATCAGAACTTAACTGATCTTCATCAACTGTCATATCTAACTGACCCTCTTGATAGACATTCAAATCCTCCACACAGCATCCATTCCAAAACCCCTCCCCCTCTCTGTCACTCACCAATCATATCACTTGCCTGATTCCAGCGCTCTAGATTATCATCACAGCCATGCAAACCAAACTTTTAAAGCCACACACACACAGTTCAACATGAAATCATTACAGGACCCTTGTCTGTCAATATGGTTTAAGACTGTCTTGGAGAAATTCCTGGCTCTTGGTGCTCACCTGGGCAGTATCCAAGACCTGGGCTTTCATGCAGCATCTGCTTTGGTGAGAAACTGTGCAAGATTAATTGATTGACACAGCACTGCTTTTAGAGCACACTGCGCCTGCTCATCCCAGTTTTTTTGGGATCCCCCCCCTCCGAAATCCCTTCTGCCCTCATACTTTCTTGTTGACTTCCCAAAGCCTTTTAAGCGCATTTATCTTGGCCAGATTATACACCCATTTGTCAGCAGTTATGGGGGGAAGGTTCGTACGTTTACCTTATTCAGAACAAATCTCCCCCTGTTCCTTAGGTAAGACCGACACGGTTACACATATTTTTTTGGCGTGTCCTTTGTATGCTAATCTCAGGACGGAGGCGTTATATTTTACTGTGTTTGCCCGTTCAGTCTGATATATGTTCTTATGACCTGGTCACATTATCTACTTGCTGACAGGGATCCATAAGGAACTTAGCGGTTACACTTTTTTCTCCTCCTTCTGTCTATTGGGTCGCCAACCTCCAGGTGGCACCTGGAGATCTGCTGTTACAATTGATTTTCTGGTGACCAAGATCAGTTCCCTGGAGAAAATGGCTGCTTTGGAGGGTGGAGTCTCTGGAATTATACCCCACTGAAGCCCCTCCCCTCCCCAACCCCCGCCCTCCCC